TGCAGAAGTCTCAGTGACAAATCTTGGTAATGACATGAAAATGGGGATGAGAAAGAAGTAAGAGACAGTTCTGAGGCTTCTACCTTGGAAACTGCATGATCAGCTACACTTAAGGACTGACACAGAAAACAGATGCAGAAAAGGATAAAGAGGAGAAGACCCAGGAGAATAACCAAGAAGGGTATGTAAAGATAAAGAATAAATAAAGGCCACTAGTGACCTCTACAAAAGCAATGTTAGGAGAGTAAGAAGACTCAACAATAACTACAGCTCAGTAAGGGTGCTTACTACGTAGCAGGTGCTACCTTGCTATCCATGTATTAAGTTATTTAACTTCACAAGTGTGGGGTAGAATCTGCAGAGGAGGGCTCATAGGAGAAAAGCAGAGAACACGTATTGTGGGGAAGGGGATAGAGACTCAACCCAGAAAGAGGCCAAATTTTTTGAGGGGCCAGTATGAAAGGCCTAGCAGAGAAAGGTCTAATTTTACCATTTATGTTTTCATGAAAACTTAATCTTTGAAAAAAACAAAAATAACTTCTAAAATAAGCCTATAAATCATTCAAGAGAAAGGCGGTTAGTTTTATGTGTAAACTTGGCTAGGCTATGATTCTCAGTGGTTTGGCTAGACACTCAATTGGTTGCTGTCCCAAAATGTAATGTAACATAATGTAATCACCTTCCATGATGTAATCTGATGTGTTCAACCAATGAGTTGAAAAGGAAATTTCCTTGGGGTTGTGGTCTACAGCAGAATATAAATAGACATTCTAGCAGAGTTCGTTCTCTTTGGACCCTGCATTCTTCCCATCACCTGACCTATGGATCTTGAGATATAAGCCTGCACAAGTCTCTGGCCTCTTGTCCCACGACTGCATCCCTTGAAGTAAATCTCTCTACATATATATATGTGTATATGGGTGTATATATGTGTATGTGTATATGTATGTGTGTGCATGTATATACATATATGTCTCACTGGTTTTGCTCCTCTAGAGAACCCAAAAGAAGATAAAAAGCAAAGAGCTAAATTTTTCCCAACACAAACTTACTGAGTTATGTTGCTTCAAATATTCTGCAGCATCTTCTTCCGCATTACCACCAATTTCACCAATCAAAATGATGCCTTCTGTGGTTGGATCACCCAGAAATACTTCCAGGCAGTCAATAAAATTAGTTCCATTAAAAGGATCACCTCCAATGCCTGAAAAAGCAAAGAACATCAACACCAATTGAAAACGTAAGATTTTCTTATTTTGCCTGCCCCTCTCCCCAATTTTAAGAAAGGTATCTTCATTCTTACATTTAAAAGTAAAACAAATGCTACATTTATTTCACTTTGTAAGATGACAAGAGTGCTAAGTGGTGCTTGGTTCCTGAGATTCACACAAGACAACCCTCTTTCAGTTTTAGCTCTTTGATCAAGTCTCTTTCCTCCCAGAAAATCATTCCCAGAAAACTTTTTAAACTAACCATTTTAATAAAACACGTGTTTGTGCTGCAAGCTGATGTTACACCAGAGGAAAGCGAAAATGTCTTCTCTGATTAAACATATAATAAGTTTATTTGCACAGTGGAACTATCTGATAAGGCATTCTGCAGAGGAACCAGTTACAAGTTGTAAGAAACAAGTCTCAGTGAGAAGAAAGGTGCCCAGAGCCCCTCAGATCCAGAGAGGGTGAAGGCCGAGCCTGCAGATAGCAGCTATAAGCACATGACAACTACAAATGCATCTGTGCATAAAATTAAATTTTCCTGGGCTGTCACTTTTTAATTTTTAAATTATAAACTTAATATGTGCAGGACTTTTCAATACATCTCTGAAGAATAAAGTTGAGGAAGGGAACTATTTATTTATTAAGTGTCAACTATGTAACTCAGTAACACTGCAAACAAACAAAATGCACTGCCGCTGAGTGGATCCAACTCACAGCGACCCCTCCATGGGTTTCCATAGTGGTATCGCTATGGAAATACACTGCCCACAACCTTCCTTCCTTCCTGTCATTTTTTAAAATTTTTTTTAAAAAGAAACTATTTTTGAAAGGCATTTAAAAGGTAGCCTAAGGATTTGAAGGAATATTTATAAAAATGAGAAATTTGCCTGGTTTTTGGTCCTAAACACTGATATGATTTTAAAATGTAAAAATTTGTTGGAATTACTATAATTAAGTAACAAAAGTCCTAGGATGAAGAAACATTTTTTTTCCCAGCAAGCCAAGTAAGTGATGTGCCTAGGCACCAACGCTCTCCAGAACCACAAGACACAAGATGTTTATTCCTCAACATGGCAATCAAATCTTAGATAACAAATTTTGAAAAAAATTACCTAAGAGCTTCACACTTAGGCAAATTAAAGATCACAAAATCCTTTTAATAAAATAATAGCAAATTCTCTTGCAAATAATCAAATCAGTAATTATTATTATAGACATTCAATGAAAATACTATACTTCAATAAAATGATTTTAGCAAAAATCCCTCACCAATACACAAAGACTGCCCTAATCCAACTTGTGTTGTTTGGTGAACAGCTTCATAAGTCAGGGTGCCAGATCTGGATACAATACCTGAAAGAAAGAAAATTCAAACATATTAGATTATGTTCATCTGATAGACTATTACACAGTCAACTACATTACAAATACTGGGAGTAACCAACATGGCTATATATAAAATACATTCCAACATCTTCAAATGATAAAATATTAACAATTAAAGAAAGGAGATTTTAAAAGTTATTAATTATTACCATTTTATGACTACAAAACCAATTCAGGAAAGACTTGCATTACCTCTTTGAGAATTTTTATGAAGGGGATAGTATCAGGAGGAACTCGGTAGGTATAGCTTGCTTAAGACTGGCAGAACATAATGGAGGAGCCTTACAGATACTCAGACTATTAAACAACCAAAACTGTAAGACTGCAAAACCAGCATTAGTCACATGCTACTACCTTCCCCCTCAAAATTATTCTCCCAATTATTTTCAAACAATATATAGGCTTTAAAACTAAAATAAACTGGGGAAAATGATCAAGATCCCTCTGGATTCAAGTTTACCATCTATTTTCCTTTATAAAATGGGCCTGTGTGAAAGCATCTAATTTCACACCTGGATAAGGTGTGTGTAAATGGGAGTAGAAAGGGGTGTGATGGCAGCTAGATGTCTTCTCTTTGGTCCATCACAGACATCTTCTCTTGTAGTTCACTGTGCTTGGCTGAGTTAATTATTCCAAGTCATACTCTATGTAATACTTTAGAACAGGAATTACATAATAAGTGAATCCCTAATTTTAACAGGTTGACAAGTATAAATGAGTAACTTCAGTTGTTAAATATAAAATATTTAAACACTTAAAACATAAGACTATGTTTCTGGGTTAAAGACTATGTTTCTGGGTTAAAGACTATGTTACAGACTAAACACAGAGCATCAACTCTGGAGTAGTGAATAACCCAGGGTGTCCATGGTTTGCTTTCCTTAAATTGCTGCCTGAGAACATTCTTAAAGACACAGAAGATTATTTTCTAACAATGTGATCCCCCTATTAAGGTAATTAGAATTCCTGTCAGACTGAGACAAAAACTACAACCATAAGTGTTACTATGCAGTAACACACATCTTCTAGCTATGAACTTGGGTAAACCTAAGCTCAGATGCTTTGTGTAAATCAATCAACGTGAAAGAAAGGCATGTGTATCTTGGTCACTGCCAGAAAGTACCCTACACAGCACTGTCAGAATACTCTTTCACATTGATTTCACCAGACAGTGACAGCTATAAGCATGCCACTTCCCCTAAGACGGCTTCCTTCACATGGAACTCTGCATCAGCTCACCAGCCTAGTACTGTCCCAACCTACCTCTCTAGATTTGCTGCTGTTGTTTCCCTACTAGTGAACCTGTTTTATCCTTCAATTACAATTCATGCTTTCCAACCTTCTCAATTTGTTCTGCTTAACACAAAACCCCTCACCTTCACCATCTGACAAAAATTCTAACCATCCTTTCACGGTCCATACGAAAAGCTTAAATGTGACTTTCCCTTTAAGGTCTTTCCTGATCTCACTTTCAAACAGATGTGAGACATTAGCTTTCCTTTCTCAAACCTTCTCAGTTATGAAAGGTCCACAAAGGAGGGACTGTGCTAAGGAGAGAAGATAGAGATGGACAACGACTCTAAGACCAGAGGAAAACTGATAAATGTTTGGGGAGGTGGGGTTGTTATGAATTACAGTCTAGTCAGTGAAAAGTCTTAGAACTATTGGAAGTAGATTTTGCTGAAGAAGGTGACAGTGCTCCACTGAAGGGTTTCCAGTTTTGATCTATTCAGTAAATATTTATTGAGCACTTTCTGTGTCAGCAACTATGCTCAATACTGAGAACACAGGGGTGAGGAAATCAGTCTTCTTTATTGGTCTGAAGTTCACATCTAGCAAGCAAGATAGTCACCACAGCCTAGAACACCAGTGGTATCTCTTACTAACCCAGATGGTAGACAAACAGTGTGATCAGGATACAACTAGGTAATCAGATTTCAGGCTCAGTGCAAGCAGGAGGGAATTGGGTGTGACTATAAAAGAGCAACATCAATAATCCTCGTTGTTCTTATTTGCCGTCATTATTCGGCCCCTCCTTGGGTTTCCAAGGCAGTATCACTACCGAAGTAGGATTGCCCAACCTTCCTTCCGAGGAGAGGCTGGTGGATTTGAACCGCCAGCCTTCTGGTTAGCAGTCAAGTGCCTTAGGCATTATGGAAATGTTCTATATCTTGAGTGTATCAATGTCAACATCCTGATTGTGACACAGTACCGTAGTTTTGCAAGATGTTACCATTGTGTCAGAGGACATCTAAAGTGCAACTATTGGTCTCTCCCTGTCCAGACCAAAAAAGAGTCAAGAAAATCAAAGATCCAAGGAAAAAATCAGTCCAAAGGACTAATGGGCCACATGAACCCCAGTCTGCATGACCCTGAAACCAGAAGAATTGGTAGGTAGCTACCAATGCTGACTACTCTGAAAGGGATCACAATAAGAGGTCCCAGACAGAGTGGGAGAAAAATGAGGAACAAAACTCAAAATCATAAAAAAAGACAGGTTTGATGGCCTGACAGAGACTGGTAGAACCCCTGAGACTACAGCCCTTAGATAGCCTTCAAGCTGGGAACTGAACATACCCATGCTCAACTTTCAGCCAAATGACAAACAAACATAAGGTAACAACAATATCAGGAAGGTATGCACTCTTTAGAACAATCAACCAAACAAGATCAAAAGGGCAGCATTTGCCCAGGAATAAAGCAGGAAAGGATAAGAAAGAAGGATAAATGGAAATGGTAAACACAGGGAGGAAGTGGGAAGAATGTTGTTACATTGTAGGGATTGCAATGAACGTCACAAGACAAAATGAGTATCAACTATTAAATAAAAAACCAATAACCAATTTGCTCTGTAAACTCTCACTCAGATCACAATTTAAAAAAAAAAAAAAAAAAGATGTTACCATTGGGAAAAACTGGAAAGGGTACAAAAGATTTGTCTGTATCATTTCTTACAATTACATGTGAATCTACAATAATTTCAATAAAATACTTAATGAATATATATATTTGACAGAGGCTATCTCTACCTATCTAATTATACGAGTGGCAGATATATCCATGAATATAATACAGCACACAGGAGACAAAGTTATGAAAACTTCCTAGTCATAACCAAACACCTCAAAAAAATGAGTCACTGGCATTGAGACTCAGGTCCACAGACTTAGGGAGCACTAAGGTCAATGGCATAACATAGTCCACAAGACAATGTTCTACATCCTACTTGGTGAGAAACAACTGGATTTTAAAAGCTTGCAAGCAGCCATCTAAGGAACAACTATTGGTCTCTCCCTGTCAGCAGAAAAGAAGAATGAAGAAAATCAAAAACACAAGTAAACAATTAGTGCATGAACTCCAGCCTCCACAACCCTCAAACCAGAAGAACTAGATCATGCCTAGCTATCACTGCTGACTGTTCTGAAAGGGATCACAATAGGAGGTCCCAGATAGGGTGGAAGAAAAATGTGGAACTCCAAACCATAAAAAAGACTAGGTTTACTGGTCTGCTGAAGATGGATGGAACTGAGACTATCTTCAGTCTAGGAACTGAACCTAACCATCATGACTCAACTGTCAGCCAAACAACAGACAAGCCTATAAGGTGAACAGTAATACCAGGAGGGTATGCACTCATTAGACCAACCAAGCATATGAGATCAAGAGGACAGCATTTGCTCAGGGATACAGCTAGGAAGTCAGGAGCGGAAAGTAAGGAAGGATGAAAGGAAGGGGTGCGTGCAGGAAGGAAGTGGGAAGAAAGCTGCTACAGTGAGGGGATTACAGTAAACATTACAAAAGAGAATGTGTATGGATTGTTGAATGGAAAACCAATTTGCTCTGTCTCTAACCCAAATCACAATGTTTTTGTTGTTGTTATGTGCTGTCGAGTCAGACCCAACTCATAGCAACCCCTCCTTGGGTTTCTGAGGTAGTATCACTACAGAAGTAGATTGTCCAACTTTCCTTCCGAGGAGTGGCTGATGGAATTGAACTGCCAGCCTTCTGGTTAGCAGTCAAATGCCTTAGGCAGTATGCTACCAGAGCACCTTACAAAAACATGGTAAAGTTAAATATCATCAATTTGGAATCGAGTCACTTCTTTCAATACATTCAATTAGCTTATGTACAATTTTATTAGTTGTTATTAGCAACTAATAAAATTGTATGTAAGCTAAAAACTGGAAATACTATTATACAGCCATCATGTTAACATTATGTCCCTTTCAGAAATAACCACAGAACTAAAATTCTCCCTTTCCCTAACTCTAACTTAAATATCTAAGAATATTAACAATGGTATCAAAATCCAAACCAAAAACCAAACTCACTGCTATCGAGTCGATTCGACTCATAGTGACCCTTTCTTGGGTTCCCAAGGTGGTACCTCTAGGAATAGTGTGATAGTTAAGGTTGTGTGTCAACTTGGCCAGGCCTAGTTGAGTAGCTGGACAGCTGGTAGTAGTTATTCCCCGTAACAAGACTGGCAATCAACTCCATGGTGGGATCTGCCACAAGCAGCTGAGTAGGTGCTTTAGGGATGTGGTCTGCTTCCCATATATAAGAAGCAGCTTTGGGAATGGCCTCCAGCTTATGGCACGCTTGCACCTTACAAGTAGCTGAGTTGCTATTCAGCAGCCTGCCATGTTCTGCCAGTCTTGGGACTTTCAATGGACTTGAATTAATGGCCTGCCATGTGATTTGGTAGTATCAGGACTGTGCCTTGTTACTTGTCAACCGTGGGTTTGTCAGCCTCAGCAGCCAGCAGCTGAGTGAACAAAAGCCTCCAGCTTCAGAGGCTTGCACTCAGCCCCTAGAGCCTGACAGGTTTTTAAGGCTCTACTCTTTACAGAAGCAGACTGCCACATCTTTCTCCCATGGAGCTACTGGTGGGTTCAAAGTGTCAACATTTTGGTTAGCAGCCAAGCACTTAACCACTGCGCCACCAGGGCTTCTAAAAGAATCCTATTCAGCAATAAAATGGAATTCATGAAACAGAAAAGAGCTCAACATAATATTTCAAAGGGCAGCTCGAGAAAACAAAGTAAACAAAATTAACATTCTCCAAGCTGGACAAACTGAAGAAAACATTCAAGCCTTAAATTGCAACAATGAAGGGTTCTATGGGCAAAATAATGAACAATGTAAGAAGCATGAAAAGAAGATAAAACAACTACCAAAATGAATTGGTTGATATTCAACCATTTCAGGGGGTAGTATATGATCAAGGAGCAATGGTATTGAAGGAAGATGTACAAGCTGCACTGAAGGAATTGGCCAAAAACAAGCCTCCAGAAAATGACAGCATATCTACTGAGAGGTTTCAACAGACAGATGCAGTCCTGGAGGTACTCACTCATTTATGACAAAATATTTGAAAGATAGCAACCTGGCCAACTGACTGGATGAGATCCATATTTGTTCCCATCCCAAAGAAAGATGTTCCAACAGAATTTGGTAATTATCAAAAAGTATCATTAATATCACATGCAAGTAAAATTTGCTGAAAATTAATTCAAAAACAATTGCAACTGTACACAGACAGAGAGCTGCCAGAATTCAAACCTGATTCAGAAGAGGACATGAAACAAGGGATATTACTGCTAATATCAGGTGGATCTTGACCAAAAGCACAGAATACCAAGAAGATATTTGTCTGTTTTATTGAATATGCAGAGGCATTCGCTGTGTGGTTCATAACAAATCATGGATAACACTAAAAAAAATGGGAATTCCACAACAGTTAGTTGTGCTCATGTGGAACCTGTACATAGACCAAAAGGAGTCATTTGAACAAAACAAGAGGATTCTAAGTGGTTTCAAATCAGGAAAAATCAGAGCTGTATCCTTTCACCATATTTATTCAATGTGTACATTGAGCAAATAATCTGAGAAGAAGACCCACGAGAAGCAGGACTACATGAAGGAGAATGCAGCATCAGGATTGGAGAAAGACTCATTAACAACCTGTGATATGTAGACGATACAACCTTGCTTGCTTAAAGTAAAGAAGACTTGAAGCACTTACTGATGAAGATCAGAGACTACTTTCTTCAATATGGATTACACCTCAACATAAAGAAAACAAAAATCCTCACAACTGGACCAATAAACAACATCAGAAAAAATGGAGAAACGACTGAAATTGTCAAGGATTTCATTTTACTTAGATACACAATCAACACCCATGGAAGCAGCACTCAAGAAATCAAATGACATACTGCATTTGGCAAATCTGCTGCAAAAGACTTCCTTAAAATATTAAAGATGTCACTTTGAAGACTAAGGTGCACTTGACTCAAGCCGCTGTCACTATGCGTGTGAAAGCTGGACAATGAATAAAGAAGACCAAAGAAGAACTGAAGCATTTGAATTGTGGTGTTGGCAAAGAATATGGAATATACCACAGACTGACAAAAGAACAAACCAACCTGTCTTGGAGGAAGTGCAGCCAGAATGTTCCTGGTAACAAGATAGCAAGATTCTGTCTGTCATACTTTAGTCAAATTATCAGGAGGGACCAGTCCCTAGAGAAGGACGTCATGCTTGGTAAAGCAGTGGATCAGCAAAAAAGAGGAAGACACTAAAGGAGATGGACTGACACAGTGGCTGCAATAATTAAATAAGCTCAAGCATAGTGGCAACTATGAGAATGGCGCAGGACTGGGCAGTGTTTCGTTCTGACGTACACAGGGTTGCTATGAGTCAGAACTGTCTTGATGGCACCTAACACCACCATTGAAACATGCAAATATAGAGACGAATTTAACTGCACACTAGCCAGTCAGAGAATTTTTTAAAACCCTAAAAAAACGGCACAGTTATGATAATTTCTTGGTCACAGTCAAACACCCTGAGGGAGCAAGTTGTTGGACCTGTGGGCTTGGGACCATGGCAGCAGGAGACATCAAGCTCAACTAGCATAACATACTACACAAAAACACTGTTCTATATCCTAGTTTAGTGAGTAGCGACTGGGGTCTTAAAAGCTTGTGGGCAGCAATCTAGATGCAACAATGGGTTTCTCCTCATCCAGAGCAAAGACAAATAAAGAAAAACAAAGATGCATGGAAACAATTAGTCCAAGGGACTAGTAGACCATGCGATCCTCAGCCTACATGACCATGAGACCAGAAGAACTAGATGGTGCTCGACTACGAAC